AAAATATTTTTAATTGAGTTTAATGCAACTTGATCATGAACTCGACACAATAATTAAAAAATATTGCAAATACACTTCATTTCGTTGAATGAGACACTTCATCTCAATAGATTCATCATACATGACTACTCCAAACTCTACCTATATGTTTTAACTTCCACTATTTTTTATTCAAATCATGCGTGAACGATCCACTTGTCATGCTAGACATGAAGGATCAGAGAATCATGATTCTTAAAATAGTACATATTTTAGCCAAAATAGTACCACATCTTCTTCTACGTGGTACCTTTTTTTGATTGATTAGTACCTACTTTTGTTAACGAAAATTGATTATTTCAATTTTGGTCAACATTTACAAAAAGTAGTACCAGACATAGAGTAAAGTAGTACCAGCATTATATTGTTGTGGTACCTGACATTGGGTCATTAGTACCACTTGTAATGAACATATAAAAACACCGAATTTTGTTTTCGAACGATGTTTATAAGACCTATAATCACTCTCACATTAGTTTATATGTGATTTAAAATGTTTTTTTATTGAGTTTATTCGCAAATTGGTTATGAACTCGACACACTAATGAGAAAACACTACTAATACACTTCATTCATTGAATTAAACACTTCATCTTATAGAATTATCATACAAGACTACTCCAAATTCTACCTATATGTTTTAATTTCCACTATTTTTTATCCCAATAACGTGTGAGTGATCCACGTGTCATGGTAGACATGAAAGATTAGAGAAATCACAATTCTTAAAATAGTACCTGCTTTAGCCAATACATTACCACATATTCTTCTACGCGGTACCTGTTTTTGATCAATTAGTACCAACTTTTGGTCAATGAAAATGAATTATTCAATTGTGGTAAATATTTGCAATTAATGGTACCAAACCTAAAGTACGACAGTACCAGCTTTCAGTGTTTTAGTACTAGATATCGGGTCTTTAGAACCAACTCCGACGAACATAAAAAAACACCGAATTTCGGTCTCAAATGATGTTTATATGACCAATAATCACTCTCACATTAGTTTGTATGAGTTTTAAAATGTTTTAAATTGAGTTTAATCGTAAAAAAGTCATGAACTCTACACACTAATGAGAAAATACTACTAATACACTTCATTTCATTGAATGACACATTTCATCTTATAGAATCTTCATACATGACTACTTCAAATTCTACCTATATGTTTGCACTTCCACTATTTTCTCAACCAAATCAGGTGTGAACGATCCACGTGGCATGGTAGACATAGAGGATTAAAGAAATCATGATTACTAGAACGGTACCAGTTTTGACAGAAATAGTACTGCTTCATCTTCTGTGTAGTACCTATTTTTAATCAGTTAGTACCTATTTTTGGTCAACGAAAATCGATTACTTCAATTTTTGGTCAACATTTGCAAAAATTCGTACCCGCCCTAGAGTTAGATATAACCAGCTTTTGGTGTTTTAGAACCAGATATCGGGTCTTTAGTACCAACTCCGACGAACATAAAAAAAACACTGAATTTTGGTCTCAGATGATGTTTATATGACCCATTATGACTCTCACATTAGTTTATATGAGATTTAAAATGTTATTAATTAAGTTTAATCGTAAAATGGTCATGAACTCGACACACTAATGAGAAAAACACTGCTAATACACTTCATTTCATTGAATGACACACTTCATCTAATAGAATCATAATACATGACTACTCCAAATTCTACATATATATTTTAACTTCCACTTTTTTTATCCAAATCACGCATGAACGAGCCACGTGTCATGGTAGACATAAAAAATTAAAAATCACAATTTTTAAAATAGTACCTGTTTAAGCCAAAATAGTACCGCATCTTCTTCAACGCGGTACCTCTTTTTTGTCGATTAGTACCTACTTTTGTGAACAAAAATAAATTATTTTAATTTTGGTCAATATTTACTAAAATTAGTACCAAACATAGAGTAAGATGGTACCAATTTTATATTGTTGTAGAACCTGATATTGGGTATTTAGTACCACTTGTAATGAACACATAAAAACACCGATTTTTACCTATAATAGCACCAGTTTGCTTCTTTGTAGTACCTAAAATAGTACCAGCTTTACCTATAATAGTACCACATTTGTTTCTTTGTAGTACTGGTTTTAATTCAATTAGTACCTACTTTCGTTGATTCAACTAAATGGATTATGTAGCGCCACGATTTTATTCATCTATGAGATTGTTCGGCTTTAGTCCCAAGAAATAGCAAGTAAATTATTCTAAGTCTCAAGAATTCAATCCAAGTACTTAAATTTAATATTTTAAGCACCAAGTTAAATTGGTGAAATTCCAAGTACAAAATGTTAATTTTTAAAATTAATTCTAAGTCTAAGTTTTTAATTAAATTGATAAATATGTCAATTAATATAATTTATTAAGTCAATAAATACAATTTAATTTTTATAAGCCAAGGAGAATAAGTAGGACTTTATAAATTTCGAGCTAAAGGTATAAGAATTAAATTTGGACATAAATAAATATGATCGCCTAGCGGTAGGATGGTATAGGAGGTGGCCTTGAGAGTGTGGACTCGCCCAAACTCGGGTGAGTCCCTCTCTGCACGATCCTTCCACCATTTTTTTTGCACTTACAGTAATTAAAAATAGGTACTAATCGTTTAAAAACATCTACCACGTAGAACAAGATGCAGTACTATGTTGGATAAAACTGGTACTAATTAAATTTTAGTACGAGTGCAAAAAAAAATGATGTGGTACTATGTTGGATAAAACAGGTACTAATTAAATTTTAGTATGAGTGAAAAAAAATAGTGGAATGAGCGGGGGGACTCAAACTCGGGTCCAGACCCTCAAGACCGTCTTCTCTATCATCCTGTCGCTAGACAATCACGTTAATCCACATATTAATTGTTATGCATTTGGCTCGAGATTTATAAAGTCCTACTTAACATCCTTGACTTATAAAAATTATATTGTAATTCTTGACTTAATAAATTATATTAATTTGCATATTTACCAATTTAATTAAAAACTTAGACTTCGGATTAGTTTTTGAATTAACCTTTTGTGTTTGAAATTTCACCAATTTAATTTGGTGCTTAAAATATTAAATTTAAGTACTTGGATTGAATTCTTGAAACTTAGAATAATTTACTTGCTATTTTTTGAGACTAAAGTCGAGCAATCTCATAGATGAATAAAATCGTGGCACTACACTCAACGAAAGTATGTACTAATTGAATTAACACGCTTTCGAAATTCATCGGCGCCGCCACTGAATATCTGCACCTCTCCTTTGATGCAAAATCTGCATGAATCGATCGATTTATCTTGCACTAACAACTCCGATTCTCCTTCCGAGAAATCAACATACGGTACGATTTCCCTGCGTTCATGATAAAATAATACAAAGATTTATAAATAATAAAACTAGTTAAAAACTTAATGAACTAGGATATGATAAAAACACCATATAACAATAATAAGTTCATTAATATTATGAAAGCAACATTATCCGCTCATGCTCATCGGGATGGATTGAACTCCATCACCCGGTCTTTCATTTCTTCTAATGGGCGGGCTTTTATTTCTTCCAATGACAAGTATCTCTACAATATTTACTTTCCAGCAAACATGTAACCGAATCATGTTTTCACATCCTCATCATCGGACAAACTAACTCTTTTTTTTCTTTGGCGCAATTTAGTTTAACATGACGGTTTCCAAATTAACAATCGGCCGCCTCTTAGCAATGAGAGTGTACACGTCGTCAAACGTTAATCCAAG